ACGCAGAGAAGACACTAATTAATGCGTCCTCTCCAAATTAATCTACACCACAGCAACCTAGCTTCTCTAGCCCTAGTTAACCGCATGGCAGAAGAACGACCTGACTTCGTCCTCATTCAGGTGTCATGGGTTAATGGAGGGCGTATTTGCGATCTGAGGACACCGGGGTATAATTTATACATGGCAGGCTGCGTAGGTAAGGCTAGGGCATGTATATTGGCTAGTAAAAAGCTTAACGTCTTTTTATTACACACTTATAGTAATAACGACACTACAGCAGTAAGCTGGGAGACGGGCTGAAATAAATACCGGAAATAAGCTTTTATTGTGCAATAAAGGTAACATTTTTAATCAGAAACCGACAGGAAGTATTCGACATAACACTTGTGTCGGAAGAACTGGTGGATAAAATGACACATTGGAGAGAACTGGAGGTACACCGCTAAATTGAGTGTATAATTAAAGAGAATGTAGTTAGGAAAGAGAAATTTATGAATCATAGGAAAACCATTTCAACCAAAGAACAAAGAGAATCTAGACATCCTCGTTAAACAGTTTACAGATTCTTGCCGTCAAGCACTAGGGGCGGCTTGTCCAATAACGAGCAGTAGGGGAAAAATTAGGCCTCCTGGTGGTCTCCCATACTTAAGAAAATTAAGAAAAATTGCAGGAAGCAATTCAATTTTGCCAAATTATCCCAAAGAGAAGAAGAGTGGGATAACTATTACAACCTCCTTACGGCAGAAGCGTCTCGACTTAGAAAAATAATGACACAGTCGAAACATAGCATTGTATACCTTCAGAAGCCAGACCACAGAAAGACTCTAGGCCTGCTAATGGATACTCACTTCCTAGACAGTTCCGACAATCACATAAGGAAGCATACACTGTAGAGTCAAGTCAAGTTAGACATAGCGTCAAATTGTAATGATTATTGGGCGATAGGCAGATTCAAGCCTTATAAATCGCCGGGACCAGATGGGATATTCCCGGCGGAACGGGTACACCCGAAGGAGGAGTGTTATCCCCACTTCTCTGGATCTTGACAATGACTAAAATGGTGGTGGATCCGGAAAAGAAGGGGGTACACGTTGTGGTCTACGCTGACGATGAGACAGTTTCAGTTAGAGGCAAGTTCCCGAATACCCTCGCTACCCTTATTATGCAGACGATATTAAATTTATATTAATCGATGGGCCGTATCATGCGGACTGCATTTAAATGATAGCAAGACCGAACTAGTATTGTTCACTAAGAAACACAGTACTTCAGAAATAAATGCTTCAATCTTTAAATGGTACCAGACTAACGATAGGAGATAGAGCAAGCCTATTTGGGACTAATTTTGGACAGGAAGCTTTCTTGGAAACAAAACTTGGGAGCTAGGGTAAAGAAAGCAGCTAAAGCGCTTTACACGTCTAAAATAATGGTAGGGCCCAGATAGGAACTGACGCCTCGGGTAGCTCACTGGCTATACACAGCAATTATAAGGCCGATTATGACTTACGATTTATTGGTATGATGGCCAATTACAGAAAAGAAATACGCGATTAGAAGTATGGAAATTATATAAAGAGCAGCCAGGATTTGCATCACTGGAGCTCTCAGAACACCGCCAAGCCAGACACTAAACGTAATTTTACGCTTACTGTCAACAGACCTGTTTTGCAAGAAAATGGCAGCGAAGTCAGCTCTGAGACTGAGGGAATCCTCTCTACTAGTCGCCGATAACAAGGGGCTTTCTATGATACTTAGAAAGTTCCCGTTTCTTCCCATAACCACGGATTTTCGAAATCCTACAGAAAGGAGTGGGAAAGGGGCGTAGTAAACAAGGAAGCAGGGATACGCATGGTTACAAACTAGATAACAGAGCAGGCGGCGGTGTCTTCTCAGCTAAGCTAGATACCAAAATCGCCTTTCGGCTTCTAGACCACTACAGTGTCTTCCAAGCGGAGGTCATCGCAATTAAAGAAAGCCTTCTTGTACTGACAAGAAGTGTGATCACAAGAAATATATTTATATATACAGACAGCCAGGCGGCTTTGAAGTCTCTGATGTCTCATAGGATTTCGTCTAAGACACTGAAAGAATGCCAGGATCTTCTAGCGGCTCTGACATCCTATTTTACGTTAAACCTGCAATGGGTCCGAGGACACAGTAATATGGTAAGGAAGACATGCCTCTGGCTGCAAGACATGCCTCTGGCTACTTGTAGATACTTAATCGACAAACATGTCATTAACATAGCTCAGTCTCAGTAGAATCAGTCCTTGACTTGCTCAACTAGCAGGCAAACGTGGCAAGAATGGAATATGAGCTGACAATGCCGACTGTTAAAATTCAAGAGGAATGATATAAGAACTCTAGTAGGAGTACTAACAGGCCACTGTCTAAAAGCCAGACATGCAAGTAGACTTGGCACGCCATATAACGACTATTGTAGAAGCTGTCAGGAAGTAGAAGAGGAGGAGACCATTAAACATCTTCTATGAACGAGAAGGTGCAGGTTCGACAGCGAACATTTGTAAAATTTTATCAAGGAGTTCACCTCACACGCAGGAGATACAAATAATATTTCTCGCTTTTATAACAGCGGTGAATCTGTACGCGCATAGCTCTCTTAATATTCCCAAAGGTGAATATTGAAGAGAATATAATATGTATGCCAAACTGGGAAAATTGATATGCCATTTGATATATATTCCCTTTTATTGAACTATTATTTATAATTTTTTTAAATTATTTTATGTTAATTAACTTTTACTTCATTATGAGAAATATATCAAAATACTTTTAAATTATTACTAATAAAGAATTTTGATATATTTCTTAAAATAATTCATGTACTTGACACCATTATGGAGTCATAAAAAACAGAATTGTGTTTTGCCGTCGGCATTTTCATATCATGTGTACATGTAAAGAAATATGGAAGAAAAATATTTATTAATTTGTCTACCAACACCATATGTACATATGTAAATATGTACACTCATTACTTCATGTGAAATCTCCGTTGACACGGTCAACCAATGATCGAAGCTCACGTTTTTTGCTTTTAAGTCAAAGAGTCAATCTGTCAAAGGACTGACCCGACGACAAAGCGTCACAACATCGTGTTTTTGGTAAAAAATCCGAGATGCCCGAAAAAATAAACGAATGCTCGCCGATTTTCACCGCTTCCATTGCCGCTCTAACAGCTTTGCCTACAAATCATTGTAAATATGTATGTTTATATATGAACATGCATACATATTGACTGATTTTTGCGAGTCACGGAAAAATATTTTAGAATTGTAAAATATTTTAAATCGACAAAAGCTTTGTTGCCACTTTTGTGACTTTTTTCTGTATTTTGTGGGCTTGCAGGGTTGTCACTGTTCCCTTTTAGAGGGAACATAAAAAAGTTGTTCAATTTATGATTTCTAGCTTTTGCCATCGTCGCGAAAAGACAATTGTGGGCAAACGCATACTCGGGGATATGTGTAAGGCGTTTGAAACGACTTAGCTTATTGCATGTGCGCCAGCGTTCATGAATGAAAATGTTGTTGTTGTGTGATTTACTACAAATTTAGGATTTGTCAATTTGGCTGCCATATTGATTTCTGACGCTGCTCATGCTATTTGAGAGAATTGTTGTTTTTGTATAACTACACTACAGCAACATCAACCAAACTGATAAGTCATTTTGCGACTCCTCATACAATATGAAAATGGGTGAAATCGTATGTTAAACACGCTCACAAGTGCGACAACTTATTAAATAAGTATTTCTTCTTTAGAATGTACGAAAATCTGATTAATTTTCAGGACTTGCTTTAGAGTGCAGTGTCGTTATATCGGATTCGATGATCTAGAATCCTGTTATTATGACCAGACATCGAACTGCTAATTCAAACGATGCAGTCCCTAACCATGTACATATGTATAACCAAGTTACTCGTATAGCGGAAGCACATACCATACTACATACATATGTACAAACCAAGCACAAATGTATATATCGGAGGAAACCTTTGCACAATCTGCAAGATATCTTAATGAAATTTAGAATTCATCTCTCCCTTTTGAGGATATGCGCTGGAGCTAAGAAAGGCTTAAATTAGGTCAATAATCACTTGGTGTCCATATATGGTATAATAAGAATTCTCAAGCACATTTCGCATTAATGCCAAAAGGAAATGAAATCAGCGTAAACTGTTTGATCACAATATAGTTTTGCCTTAACGTTGAATGAAATTCCCACCTTGGTATGTTCCTTCCCACGAACATGATGAATATAGTGATTAGTATTACATACTCTGGGATCTTGGCTGGGAGATTCTTATGCCTTCATCTTATAGTCCGAACCTGCTACCAAGTGATTACTGTCTTTTACTGGTGAAAAATTCACCTAAAAAAAGGTTACAAAAATTACTCTCCCAGTTTTACTAGACCTTTCTTTTTTGATCGTATGTAGCTATCTCTATCTCATTCACCACCTGATATAGCGCTTTTTGGTTGCTAGATGCGTCAGACTTTTCAATTGGAGCAGGTTGATTTCAAGAAGGGATACGGAAAACTCTACCATTCGACATTTTTTTTCTCAGTGTAAATGTTGTATAGTACCAACGGTTCTGACTTGTCCGCCCCATATATTGCCATTCTCCGTTTTCGTTACATGTGGGAAGTTCACGACTGTCACATTTAGTCCATGACGATTTCAAATCTTGCGAACTTGTTTTTAACCCCAACAACTTTGTCAGGCTACAATTATCAGCATCCTATATGGTACCATACAAACTTTGAGCCGGCCACAAAATAACTTGAAGTGAAAATAAACCCAAAAGTGAAAGCCTTTTATCATCTGACGTAAATAAAGTACCGGTCAGTTTGGAACATATCTTAGTGATAATAATCTGATCTGGTACAAATATTTTCACACATCCTTCAGGTTTAGATAGACATGGGTTAATGAATTAGATATCTCAACAAACTTAGAGATGATACGATACAGTCATACAGTTTGATGTCAAAAATAGATGAAATCGTTTCATTACGTTTTTATTCATATATCCAATATAATAAATTACGTGTTTTTGGTTGACTCACCACACATTGTCTGTGTGAGTGCAAGATATTTCACTAAAACAACGTGACAATATTTCAATTAACAACATGCGATTACGAGGTAAAATTAGCCTATCCACACAACTAATTTAATGTGGAATGAAAATTGATTTATAACGAATATTAATTTAATTTCGGATTTTTCGCGCATATTTATTTTTAAGTTCTCAAAATGTGTGACAAATATTTATTAGTTATTTGTTTTGCTTAAGATCTTCTTCAGCACAGTACTACAGAACTGCCTGCCCGAAAACTTAGACGACTCTTTAGCAGTTGCTTGCGGCAAACAACGAATTCTTTAAATATTAAATTCGTTCTAGAACAGCTTGGTGGTTATCTCCCAATTCAGTTTCATCTTTGATTAAAAAAATGTACAAATTGGGCACAACGCTGCTTATTGATATACATATATTATGGCTTAAGCTACAGCCGCCGGCCTCAAGTTTTGTTAATAATAGGCGGAGAGGTAAATAGATGCAAAATTCCATACAATAAAATCACATGTGACATACACTTTTTATATATAATATGTACAGACAGTAAACGCTATTTCGGTCCAAAAGCACCACCTTATCAGTTCGAAAATGGAGAATATAAACTATTAAAGAAACTACTAGATAACTTTTTACCAAACGAACTGATCAAAAGCCTTCAGAGAAAGATACGATTTCCACATTAATCGGTGAACTAAATCAAGTGAGATTCCGTAATATGTATTCAATCAGTATAATAATGTATTTCATTTAAGGGATATTTTCAGCTTACTCTAATATATAATATAAATAGTGTCATCATACACTCACAACATTTTACACAGAGTTTAATAGTTTTATTCACCTAACGGTTGCTACAAGCAAAACTAATCGAAATAGAATCATTGTATAAATATATAAATATAATATGATATAATATACGTATAAACCTACAAGTAACCAACCCTAAATTTTTCAATAATACATACGCAAAAACTAGGCATTTTTTTACGGGTTGCCTAAAAATATTCTATTACTAAAATAATACGTCAAAATTCCTCAAAAAGGGCTTAAATCTGCTATAGTTTATTGCCGTGTTATGTACTTTAAGTATATTTTTGGTACCTTTTTAAATTATTTTCGATTACTAAAATTCTTATAGATTAATTTTACGAATTTTGATCAAAATAATATTTGTTGTATCAAATCATTAATATGTTCAATATATACAAATCGAGGTAAATGGAGAGATAAATGAGATCAGCTTTCTACATAAAAACATAATTTGTATTATAAATATCTTACACAACTTAATTGTTTAATGGCTTTGCCAAAATTTGATGAAGAAGAAATCGAACCACAACTGTTCAAAAACCCCTAGGTACTGAATTTGTTGACCCTAGTGCCTATAGCTGACTTTTTACTAAAAATATCGGTCAACATAGAACAAGGCGGCAAGATCCACAAAGAAATCTAAAACGAGTATACTATTTGACTTTACGAGAGTATAAAATGTTCGGTTAAATCCTAACTTAGCCCTTCCTTACTTGTAAAATTTATATAAAATTGCCATTCATATGAAATCTTTAACTACTTCTATATGTATATGTCCGCGCGAACTCGCCGTTATTTCGTTGGCTTGCACCCCATACACAGAGCCGTTTCACCAAACCAAAGTAATTGTTATGTTGCTTAATTTGTATTGAAAAATACTGATGCATTAATGACTTTTTTTCGTAATATAAAAATAGTAGACTTCAAAATATAGATACACATAAATTTATACTCGTTATTAAAATAAATTCGATTAATAAAAAAATATCTGAAATAATTATTTGGCAGTGCGCCCCTGACCCCTCCTTGCCTGCGATCGTTCAACTTGCTTCTCACAAAAAGCAAAAAGTGTAGGAGCAAGCATCAGCGTACGTGTATTTAAGAATGTATGTGTGATTATCACATTTGTGTAATTAGGCATAATAAGGGAATATTCATTAAACCTAAACATATGAACATATTTTCCTGAAATATTATAATTATCCCAGGAAGTAAATATGCTATTAAAGCAATTGAATTGAGATCAGTTAAAATGTCAAATAATAAAATAAAATCAAAATAAGAATAAGAATTAAGATTTATGATTGACAGTCGGAGTGGATTAACTCCTTCACGCTTACGACCTGAGCCACCGCAAAAGTGGAATCGCGGCCGCTTAGCCATTGCTTTATTGTTATCCTTTGCATATTAGATATTGTTCATGCAACACAAATATGTGTTGAATAATTTATCTATTAATTATTTATTTTGTTGTAAATTTATCTATTAATTATTTATTTTGTTGTAAATTCTGGGGCTTTAACCAATAATCCTCTTATATAATTTGAAGGAATATTTTAAACAACAAAAATTACTATTTTTTGGTAATATGCAAATGTAATTCAGCATGCGCATAATTCATTTAAGAATATTCTTTGTGTCTATTTATAGCATTTTTTCCGTTTCGATCATTGCGTGGTGTATTTCAGTTCCCTATTGTGAAAAGTTAAAATTAGTACTTCTTAACATTTGCGCCTTCTCTATTCATTAACATTCTCTGCTAACAGCTTTGCCAACAAATCTTTGCAAATATGTACATATGTTTAAATATGAACATATTGACGCAGATTTTTGCGAGTCACGGAAAAATATTTTAGAATTGTAAAGTATTTTAAATCGACAAAAGCTTTGTTGCCACTTTTGTCACTTTTTTCTGTGTTTTGTGGCCTTGCACGGTTATCACTTTTCCCTTCTAGAGGGAACTTCAAAAAGTTGATCAATTTATGATTTCTAGCTTTTGCCATCGTCGCGAAAAGACGCTTGTAGGCAATAGCATGTTTGGAGAGATGTGTAAGGCGTTTGCTTTTATGAATAAAACGACTTAATGCAATAAGCTGTGTGCGCCAGCATTCATGAATAAAAATGTTGTTGTTGTGTGATTTACTAAAAACTGCCATATCGATTTTTAACGCTGCTCATGCTATTTGAGACAATTGTTGTTTTTGTATAACAATGTTTGTATTTTTACTATCGGCTGACATACTTACATTTTTACACTTATATGTATGTAGATTTGCGTATGCATCACTTATTTTGCAATGTCATACGCATATTTGTACATACATACTTACATATAGAGCAGTGCGCGCACATGTATTTATTGATAAGTGATAATATCAAAGATTCTATTTCTCAATGTGTAAATACCAGAGAACGGAAATGAACTCCATATTGATGTACCCAAGTATATACACACATAAATTGTTAATTTTGTAACAATTGAAATTAGAAAAAGTAAAATATATATTTTTTGCATAATCTTTCGCATTTTATCATGCTGCATTTTTGCAAAAAAATCATATTTTATCAATTTTTATCATAAAAGTCGTTTATATGACAAAAAATAATCATGCATATGTGAAGTGGCATTTGTATTTTTTGTTTTCTAATTCATTTAATTTTTCTCTTAGTGTTGGAAGATACGTATGTATTTTGTCAGATAACGTTGTTATAAATTCTCATTTCTGTTAAATACTACAGAAAATGGTGAACGCCTCGATCTCAATTTTTCAGCTCTGTTAGCCGTCCAATCGATCATCATACAAAATTCAATTTGCACCTTCTCGGTCTTCTAAGTCCTCTGATCGGACCACAGCCGCGCCCACAAAACGCCATTAATCAAAAACTAATAAATTGCCATAACTAAGCTCCACAACAAGATACAAGACTCTTATTTGATATACAGGATCACATTAGGGAGGGGCATCTGCAGTTTAAATTTTTTTTAAGTGGGCGTGGTCCCGCCCCTAATAAGTTTAATGTGCATATCTCCTATACCACTAAAGCTATAATAACAAAATTCACTGGGAACAAATGTGTTTAGCATCTCTATCGGCGGTGTAAAAAAGGGTGAAATCGGGTGACAACCACGCCCACTCCCCATATAACGGTACTGGTAAAAACTACTAAAAGCGCGATAAATCAAGCAGTAAGCAAGCCAGAGACATAAAATTTTATCTCTGGGATAGTATAAGATGATTTTATAGAAACCACGTTCAAAATTAGATAGTGGGCGTGGCACCGCCTACTTTTTGGTGAAAACCCATATCTTGGGGTCTGCTTAACCGATTTCAACAAAATTCGGTACATAATATTCTTCTCATATTTCTATGTTATAGTATGAAAATGGGCAAAATCGGATTACAACCACGCCTATTTCCCATATAATATCATTTTAAATTCCATCTGATTTTGTCAGTTTCCACTATGCAAATCAAGCAACAATGATTATATCGGCGTAAAACTGTCTTTGTATGCTTTTCATACTTCTAATCGCGTATTTCTTTTCCGCTATTGACCACCTTACCAATATACCGTACGTCATAATCGGTCCTACAATTGCTGTGTAGGGGCAATGAGCTACCCCCACCGTCAGTCCCCACCATTATTTTACCATTTGGTAATGGCGGCGTGATTTCTGGAGTACTGTGTTTCTTAGAGAACAATACTATTTCTGTCTTGCTGGCATTTAGGTTCAGTCATATGGCCCATCGATTAATATTGTCTGCATAAAGCTATCGAGGTTATTCGGGAACTTGTTTTTAACCGAAACTGCCACATTGTCAGCGTAGGCCCAAACACGTACGCCCTTCTTTTCCAGATCATCCCAAGAGCATCTGTTCAATTAATTTCCGGAGAGGCTCAGAGATGCCCAAATTTTAAAGCGCACTAAATATGGCCTTCGGCAGGATGTTATTGAAAGCCCCTTCTATGTCTAAGAATACTACAAGGGTGCGTTTCATCTCTAGAGACTTTTCAATCTCTGCTACCACTCTCTTATATATAAATCACCTTGACTTTCCCCCATACAGAGGGAATATAGTTTAATCGCAGTGCCCCTTTAAGCATGGTTGTTAACCAGCTTATTATGTAGCTTTAGGTCTGCTGTAACTGAGCCGGGAATAACCCATCTGGTCCCGGCGTTTTAGAAGTCTTGATGCTACCTACCGCCCAATAAACATTGCTACCTAACACCATGTCTATAGGGGGGAATTCGGTATGCTTCTGCCGTGCTCTCGATGTCATTACAAAAATATTTCCATGAATTTCTTTTTGCCTTCCTTACCTCCTTTTTATATGAGCTTAGAAGGTTATAGTAGTTATCCCACTCTTCTTCTCTTTGAGAGAATTTGACTAAATTGAATGATTCCTGCAATCTTTCTGCATGTTCTTAAGTAAGGGACACCACCAGGGGGGCCCAATTCTTGGAGGATGTCGAGGTTATCTTTGTTCTCTGTTTGAAATGGCGGAATCATAGGAATACGCTTTTTAGCTCCTGCAGGTGCATCTGTCATTTCGTTTTACTATATCTCTACCCTGTCTACGTTCTCTTTAATTATACATTCAATGTAGCGGTGATCTGAGAAGGAGTGTTCCTCCAGTATTCTTCAGTGTGTCATTTGATATACCAGTTCTTCCAACATAAGTGTTATATCTAATACATCCGGTCAGTTTCTGGTTGTAAATGTTGGCGTACTGCCCTTGTTACATAACAAAAGCTTATTTCCCAGTAAATAATTAAAGAGCAACGCACCCCTTTCGTTGATGTCCGTGCTGCCCCATATTGTGTGGTGTGCATTAAAGTCACACCCAAGTAAAATCGAGCACTTGGATGCTTCGTGGTCCCATACCAGCTCTTTAA